CTCACAGACGGATGGTCTGACATTCTCCTGTAGAATTCTCTGATACAGAGCAGAATTCATGGTTCCTTCTATTAAGGCAAGTCGTCCAGGTCCTGAGGCAGCAAAGCATCCCCAAACCATCACACCACCACCACCATGCTTGACCTTTGGTATGATGTTCTTACTGTGGAATGCAGTGTTTGGTTTTCGCCAGGCATAATGGGACCCATCTCGTCCAAAAGGTTGACTCTAGTTTTCCAAAAAGCACCTGGAGGATCATCAAGACTCTTGGAAGAACGTTCTATGGACAGATGATATCAAAAGTATAACTTTTTGGACGACATGGTTCTATTATGCCTGGCGAAAACAAAACACTGCATTCCACAGTAAGAACATCATACCAAAGGTCAAGCATGGTGGTGGTGGTGTGATAACTTCACCAGGCTGCCCACTCAAGAGAAACCTTCAAACTGTAACTAGTTCCTGCAACCTGGTTCAGGTTATCAGTCAACCTACCAGGATAGTTACAAACAGCACATGAATGAAATCATCAACATGTATTGATCACATCTTTACTAATGCTGCATAAATTTGCTTTAAAGCAGTATCCAAATCCATCGGATGTAGTGATCACAATATAGTAGCCATATCTAGGAAAACCAAAGTTCCAAAAGCTGGGCCTAATATAGTGTATAAGAGGTCATACAATAAGTTTTGTAGTGATTCCTATGTTGTATGTAAAGAATATGCGTTGGTCTGTGGTGTGTAATGAGGAGCAACCAGACGCTTCACTTGACACATTTATGAAATTGCTTATTCCAGTTACTAATAAGCATGCACCCATTAAGAACATGACTGCAAACTGTTAAATCCTTGTGGATTGATGAGGAATTTAAAAATTGTATGGTTGAGATGGATGAGGCAAAAGGAATGGCAAATAAGTCTGGCTGCACAACCGATCGGCAAATGTACTGCAAACGGAGAAATATTTTAAAACTCAATAAAAAGAAGAAGAAACTACACTATGAAACAAAGATAAATGACATCAAGAATTATATTAAAAAGCTTTGGAGCACCTTAAATGAAATTTTGGGGCGAAAAGGCAAACTCAGCCCAATCATTCATTGAATCAGATGGCTCATTCATCACAAAACCCACTGATATTGCCAATTACTTTAATGATTTTTTCATTGGCAAGATTAACTAACTTAGGCATGACATGCCAGCAACAAATGCTGACACTGCACATCCAAGTATAACTAATCAAATTATGAAAGACAAGCATTGTAATTTTGAATTCCGTAAAGTGAGTGCGGAAGAAGTGAAATAATTATTGTTCTCTATCAATAATGACAAGCCACTGGGGTCTGACAACTTGGATGGAAAATTACTGAGTATAATAGCGGATAATATTGCAACTCCTATTTGTCGTATCTTCAATCTAAGCCTACCAGAAAGTATGTGCCCTCAGGCCTGGAGGGAAGCAAAAGTAATTCCGCTACCCAAGAATAGTAAAGCCCCCTTTACTGGCTCAAATAGCCGACCAATCAGCCTGTTACCAACCCTTAGTAAACTTTGGGAAAAAATTGTGTTTGACCAGATACAATGCTATTTTACTGCAAACAAATTGACAACAGACATTCAGCATGCTTATAGGGAAGGACATTCAACAAGCACAGCACTTACACAAATGACTGATGATTGGCTGAGAGAAATCGTTGATAAAAAAAGATTGTGGGAACTGTTTTGTTAGACTTCAGTGCGGCTTTTGACATTATCGATCAGTCTGCTGATGGAAAAACGTATGTGTTATGGCTTTACACCCCCTGATATATTGTGGACAAAGAGTTACCTGTCTAACAGAACACAGAGGGTGTTCTTTAATGGAAGCCTCTCCAACATAATCCAGGTAGAATCAGGAATTCTCCAGGGCAGCTGTTTAGGCCCCTTACTTTTTTCAATCTTTACTAATTACATGCCACTGGCCTTGAGTAAAGCCAGTGTGTCTATGTATGCGGATGACTCAACACTATACACGTCAGCTACTACAGCGAGTGAAATCACTGCAACACTTAACAAAGAGCTGCAGTTAATTTCAGATGTGTGGCAAGGAATAAGTTATTCCTAAATATTTCAAAAACTAAAAGCATTATATTTGGGACAAATCATTCACTAAACCATAAACCTCAACTAAATTGTGTAATAAATAATGTGGAAATTGAGCAAGTTGAGGTGACTAAACTGCTTGGAGTAACCCTGGATTGTAAACGGTTATGGTCAAAACATGTTCATACAAAAGTAGCTACGATGGAGAGAAGTCTGTCCATAATAAAACACTGCTCTGCCTTTTTAATAACTATCAACAAGGCAGGTCATACAGGCTCTAGATTTGTCGCACCTGGACTACTGTTCAGTCGTGTGGTCAGGTGCCACAAAGAGAGGCCTCTGAAAATTACAATTGGCTCATAACAGGGCAGCACGGCTGGCCCTTAAATGTACAAGGAGAGCTAACATTAATAATATGTATGTAAATCTCTCATGGCTCAAAGTGGAAGGGAGATTGACTTCATCACTACTTGTTTTTGTAAGAAGTGTTGACATGCTGAATGCACCGAGCTCGGACACCCATGCATACCCAACAAGACATGCCACCAAAGGTCTCTTCACAATCCGCAAGTCCAGAACAGACAATGGGAGGCGCACAGTACTACATAGAGCCATGGCTACATGGAACTCTATTCCACATCAGTTAACTAATGCAAGCAGTAGAATCAGATTTAAAAAACAGATGAAAATACACCTTATGGAACAGCGGGGACTGTGAAGAGACACACACACAGGCACAGACACACATACACATGATAAGACACGCACTCTACACACACGGACACATAGATGTTGTATTGTAAATATGTGATAGTGGAGTAGTGGCCTGAGGGAACACACTAAATGTATTGGGTAAAGTGTTATGAAATGTAATGTCATGTAATATTTTTTATTGTATATAACTGCCTTAATGTTGGATTGAATGGGGATCCTTAATAAATACAAATACAAATACAAACACAATCACAATCGCTAGGCAAGGCAAACATTTTGACTATATTAGCCCACACAGCTACAAGGATGCACTTTCATGCTGGTTTAGAACCTCATATTGAAGCTTATAGAAAACCCAACTGATGTATAGAACAATCTTAAAATTATTTACTTTGGTTTAGATACAAGAATCATGAAACCTTTAACACAATAAATGTATTTGACTTGGTGAAAATCCGTTTTTTCCCCCCTAACTTGCATACCACTTTTTCCATGTGGTTTCTTCCTTCACAGACTCCATGAAATGATGACCTCTTCCTAAATATTTGGTCAAATGATTAATTGTGTGTATGGTTTCCTAGAAACAAGGGTGGCTCAACTTACCCCATTCTACCCTACAGTTTTGACCCATAGAGATATACAGGTAAGTGCCAAAATAATGGAAACACTCAAGTAAAGGAGGAATACAAAGTATATTGAAAGCAGGAGCTTCCACACAGGTGTGGTTCCTGAGTTAATTCAGCGATTAACATCCCATCATGTTCAGGGTCATGTATAAAAATGCTGGGCAGGCCATTATTTTGGCTACCATGGCTATGCCCCCATCCACAGGGCACAAGTGGTCACTGAATGGTTTGATGTGCATGAAAACAGCTGTTTCAGTCACCAGATTTCAACCCAATTGAACACTTATGGGAGATTCTGGAGGCTCGTGGTGGCCCAACACCCTATTAAGACACTTTATGTTGGTGTTTCCTTTATTTTGGCAGTTACCTGTATAATTATTATATGGTAGACAGCCCTACCCCCACTAGATGACTTACAACTCCATTAGGCTACTGCTTGACAGGCCCTGATCGCTCTGAATCACTCTGACCCTTTTAGTGAACAGACTAAATTGTTACTGGACCACACACCTTTTTCTTCAAGTAGACCACTGCGCAAGGACCCAAATCTTGACATATCTTTGAGGCCATGCAGATGCTGCCTTCTGTTGGCAAACGAAGAGAATGACACTTTCACATAAAAGGCAAGAGACCTTTATCAAAGACAGTACAGTATGAAGATAGGCAGAAACTGCTTCTCCAATAGAAATCCCCGATAACACTTGTAGGCGACGTTGGCTAGCTAAGCTCAGAAACACGTCAACGGGTGTAATGTTCGTCTCTTGCCGAAATGCGAAAGTAAAATCAAGGCACTCCTCAATGTTGTTTTTGACGAAAATTAAAACGTGTAAGTTTGTCACTTTGGACTAATAACATTTTCAACTACTTAAGACATTGTCTCGGCTCGAGACTAGGTAGTGCCTTCAGATTTCGATAAACTTAACTACTAAGGAAGAATGTTTTACTTCTCTCATTGACTTCTCAAACCCCAAACCCCGGCTTGGTCTGTTTCGCAAACGTTCCCGGAAGTTTCGCGATGTTGTGCCTCTGGGTTTAGAAACTCTGTGCCTTCATGGTACGGGTGAGTTGACGTTCAAGCCCAGCACTGACTGTAAAACCTTAATAATAGACATATATCTACTGTGTGGTTGTCCCTTCTAATGTATTCAATAATTCCTGACGAGACATTTGTCAAGTTCTCCATCTTGTTGTATTTGTTTCTGAATAGTTTGACTAGTATAAACTACAGTTCCCATGAGCGCTACGCGTCTCTTTACGCAACCCTGAGGATTTCTTATCAGCTTTTACGTAATGCAGCTCACTTTCGAAAACAAAAGCCGGGATCAAACTTCAAAATAAAAGCCGCCTCAGGCTGAAATCCACAACATCTAGGCCTATTTTGAACTGTATAGTATTGATATCAGATGCTATTGTATCTGCTTTTATATTGTAGGCCTACTGGTCTCTAATGGGCTTGTTGAACAAAAATACTTGGAATCCAATAATCATTTGAATCATAACAGGACTTTTATTCTGACACCACTATTAATCCTCATTCTTGTCTCCGTTTCTGGTTTCCCCCCAACGTTAAACCGACCTCTACCAACAACGGGGACACATCAGAAGAACCGAGTCACCGTGAATTCAATTCACAGCTCTTTTATCGGGTGAGCGTGCCCCGGTGACAGTCCGTTCTCCCCGCGGTTATGAGACTCCGCTGGTCCGGGGGCGTACTGCTGTCGGTGGCGGCTGCATACTACGTCTATACTCCGTTACCGAGTACCGTGAACGAGCCCTGGAAGCTCATTCTGCTGGACGCGCTGTTCCGGAGTTTCATACATGCGGTAAGACTGACTGGTAATGACTTGAAAATAGAATAAAATAGAATAGAACGTATTAGTTAAGGCAGGTGTTTTGCTGTAAATAGTATTGAATAGTGGAATTAGTCAGTTCATGACATCAGTGCAGTGAACTGGTTAGCCTATGGGTCCCATCAGATCATACAGTCCACAGGACAGTCAAATAACCTATAGAACCTTGACAGTCCATTGAGGGCACCAATCAGGGGCGTCATGCACCCCAAAAACCTGTGGGGGCACAAAGTATGTGAGGATGGCTGGGGTGTGGTTTTCAAACACCTGAAACAGCTTTTCCCTGCAATCTAGAGCCATAATAAATATGCTTAATTCTATGTAAAAAATCTGTCTATTTATATATTTATGTAATTTTACCCCATTTTCTCTTCAATTTTGTGATATCCAATTGGTAGTTAAGACCTTGTCTCATCACTGCAACTTCCCAACAGTCTTGGGAGAGGCGAAGATCGAGACATGTGTCCTCCGAAACATGACCCTCCAAGCCTTGCTGCTTCTTAACACACTGCTCGCTTAATCCGGAAGTTAGCCGCACCAATGTTCGACCCTCCCCTAACCTGGACGGCGCTGGGCCAATTGTGCGCCGCCCCATGGGGCCCCAGGCTGTAGTGGTGAACCCCAGGCTGTAGTGGCACATTAGCATTGCGCTGCACCACTCGGGAGGCCAATACAACTATGTCTATATTTCTGCATATCTAAACATACCTCTTGAGCTGTCTGTATCCTCCTTACTGGTGGTTCTTTTTTTAAAGAAACAAAATATGCTTCTCTGCATCTCTGCTAATATCTGGGTAAAACATTGAAAGGAATGTGTGTCTTATTCAGTACATTTAGTTATTGCTTGCTTTTCGGAAGTCTACCAACCTTGCCAGCAGGCATGCCAGCTAAGATAGTTAGACAAGCTAGCTACTCTAACTTGATTGATAGCCTGAAATGGCTTCTTGGTAGCTAGTTATGAGGTTGGGAGATTGGGAACCTATCTGGGCTAGCTTAAGCCAACTTTATAAAATTGCTAAGTGGCTAGTAGTGTTACAGAGAAAAAATAAATACAAATTATATATATATACAGTACCAGTCAAAAGTTTGGACACACCTACTCATTCAAGGGTTTTGCTTTATTTTTTACTATTTTTTACATTGTAGAATAATAGTGAAGACATCAAAACTATGAAATAACACATATGGAATCATGTAGTAACCAAATAGCCACCCTTTGCCTTGATGACAACTTTTCACACACTTGGCATTCTCTCAACCAGCTTCATGAGGTAATAACCTGGAATGTATTTCAATTAACAGGTGTGCCTTCTTAAAAGTTAATTTTAATGCGTTTGAGCCAATCAGTTGTGTTGTGACAAGGTAGGGGGGGGTATACAGAAGATAGCCCTATTTGGTAAAAGACCAAGTCCATATTATGGCAAGAACAGCTCAAATAAGCAAAGAGAAACGACAGTCTATCATTTCTTTAAGACATGAAGGTCAGTCAGTTTCTTCAAGTGCAGTCGTAAAAACCATCAAGCGCTATGATGAAACTGGCTCTCACGAGGACCGCCACAGGAATGGAAGACCCAGAGTTACCTCTGCTGCAGAGGATAAGTTCATTAGAGTTACCAGCCTCAGAAATTGCAACCCAAATAAATGCTTCTCAGAATTCAAGTAACAGACACATCTCAACATCAACTGTTCAAAGGGGACTGTGTGAACCAGGCCTTCATGGTCAAATTGCTGCAAAGAAACCACTACTAAAGGACACCAATAAGAAGAAGAGACCTGCTTGTGCCTAGAAACACGAGCAATGGACATTAGACCGTGGAAATTTGTCCTTTGGTCTGGAGTCCAAATTTGAGATTTTTGGTTCAAACCGCCTTGTCTTTGTGAGACGCGGTGTGGGTGAACGGATGATCTCCGCATGTGTAGTTCCCAACGTAAAGCATGGAGGAGAAGGTGTTATGGTGTGGGGGTGCTTTGCTGGTGACACTGTCTGTGATTTATTTATAATTCAAGGCACACTTAACCAGCATGGCTACCACAGCATTATGCAGCGATACGCCATCCCATCTGGTTTGGGCTTAGTGGGACTATAATTTGTTTTTCAACAGGACAATGACCCAACACACCTCCAGGCTTTGTAAGGGCCATTTTACCAAGAAGGAGAGTGATGGAGTGCTGCATCAGATGACCTGGCCTCCACAATCCCCCGACCTCAACACAATTGAGATGGTTTGGGATGAGTCGGACGGCAGAGTGAAGGAAAAGCAGCCAACAAGTGCTCAGCATATGTGGTAACTCCTTCAAGACTGTTGGAAAAGCATTCCAGGTGAAGCTGGTTGAGAGAATGCCAAGAGAGTGCAAAGCTGTCATCAAGGCAAAGGGTAGCTATTTGAAGAATGTCAAATATAAAATATATTTAGATTTGGTTACTACATGATCCCATATGTGTTATATCATAGTTTTGATATCTTTACTATTATTCTACAATGTAAAAATAAAGAAAAATAAAGAAAACCCTTGAATGAGTAGGTGTATATATTTTGTGGGGGCACGTGCCCCTGTACCCCCTATGGGCATGACGCCTCTGGTAATAGTGTTTTGGGTTATAGGCCTTTACTTGACCAGACTGTCTGAACTTTGAACCTCTTTCATTGGCCAGCTACAATAAGGACACACACACACAGGCCTTGTGTGGTGATAGGTTCAGTACACATCACTGCATTATTTTCCAGAAAGTAGGCTGGCCCTCTTTGAAGTCACATAGGTCGATTTATCAATGTCTTTTTATCTATAAATCTCTCTTACAAAAACTCCCGCTGTGCCTAACATCATTATTCATCTTTAAACATATGAGTTAGTTACCATACCCGATCTCAGGGATGGCTAACCCTGAAAATCCCTTCGGTCTCCTCAGAGTTAGGTAAAACTGCTTTTAGTTTCTTTGCACCCCATGTATAGAACAATCTACAGAGTTCCATACAACTGGATGTTCTGGTGCCTCTTGGCAGTTCAACATGTTGATTGGAGACCTCCTTGCTGAGGAATGTGGTTGTTTTTCTTGAATATTTGTGTTTTCTTTTACATTGTGTGTTATTTTATTTTTTGTGTATATAAATTGTGTATATGCAGGGCTCCTGGCGACTCCCTTAAATTAAATAAGTAATGAAAATTGTCCCAGTGGTCACTGGCCTTGTGCTAAAGTGGTCAACGACAGTTAGGATCTGATGAAATAGAGAGTGGGGAGTGGCTGAGAGTCATCAACATGCCTTAACCTGTCTCTACCTAACCTTCCTCTAGCCTGAACTACCAGTCCAAACAGCTACCTAGCTTATTAGTAATACTGTAGAAGAGGACACACACTGATCACACTGAGACCTGCAGTACCAGTCCCCACACCCTATACAGTATATCTGGATGGCTGGTTCTATGTTTATACATCCCATCACAGTGTGCAGATATTAAACTGAGCGTGTGTGTGTGTGTTCCAGGGTGATGCGGCCCAAGCTCTAGGTGTCTGTCACAGTGTCCATATGTTGAACTCTGTGGTGTCTCGGTTGGAGGTGATAGAGCCATGGTCTAGTCCTACTGTACGTGTCACTGACTCCACCTTGGGGGGCGTGCCCGCACGAGTGTTCCAGCCAGTTGGAGGAGGAGCCAAGCTCAGGAGGGGAGTGCTCTACTTCCATGGCGGGGGATGGGCCCTTGGCAGCGGACGTAAGTGTGTGTGTGCTAGAGTTTCTTTTTAAACTTTCCATATGTGTTTATGCACAACATTTTCTGCATTTGTATGTGTGTGTAGGAATGAGATCTTATGACCTGCTGTGTAGGAGGATGGCTGAAGAGCTGGATACAGTCATTGTGTCGGTTGAGTGAGTATCAGAACCACTAATACTTAAAAAAAACAAAAAAACTACATAAATCATATGGGAACCGAACTGGCAACCGGAAGGTCTGCCATTGTTCCCCTGAGCAAGGCACTTATACTAAATTAACTTATGGTGTGTTAATTGTTGTTACCATAGTTACCGCTTGGCCCCGGAGGCAGTGTTTCCAGACCAGTACCATGATGCTCTAGCAGCGTCCAGAGCCTTCCTGTCCCCAGAGGTCCTGCAGCGCTACAGGGTCGACCCAGCCAGGGTGGGGGTGTCTGGAGACAGCTCTGGGGGGAACCTCGCTGCAGCCGTGGCCCAGCGGGTACACGTACACCCATGCGCACACACACATGCGCACACACACATGCGCACACACACACACATTAACAGTCACACACTATCACATTCTTTTTCTGGCCATAGATCTCTGCAGATGACAGTATGAGTGTGAAGTTCAGTATCCAGGCGTTGATCTACCCAGTCCTCCAGGCTCTAGACCTCAACACCCCGTCCTACCAACAGAACCACAACGTACCCATCCTGCACCGACACCTCATGGCCAGGTACAGTGCACACGCACATGCACACACGCACACACGCACGCACACATGCACACACACACACACACACACACACACACACACACACACCTGTTTCTAACCTTCCTCTCTCTCTCTAGGTTCTGGCTAATGTACCTGGGGGCTGATCCCTCTCTCCTCCCTCATCTCCTCTCCTCCCCTTCCTCCCTCCTCCATCCCTCCATCCCTCCATCCATCCGTTCTCATCTCAACTGGACCGCGCTGCTCGCGGCCAAACACCAAAAGCACTACCGGCCCGTTGGCATGGAGACTGGGTCGCGGGAGGTCACGGGGGAAGTGCCGGGGTTGGTGGATGTTCGAGCGGCGCCGTTGCTTGCAGAACAGGGGGTTCTAGGTAGAACGCCGCGAGCATACGTGATGACGTGTGAGTTCGACGTTCTGAGGGACGATGGGTTGATGTACGCCAGGAGACTACAGGACGCGGGCGTCACGGTTACCAGTGTTCACTATGACGACGGTTTCCACGGCTGCATGGTCTTCTCCTTCTGGCCGTTTTGGTCCTCCGTTGGCCAGAGGAGTCTGGACAACTACATCCAGTGGCTAGACCACAACCTCTAGAACAGTCATACTCAACAGGCGGACCGCAGTCTGTATCCGGACCCAGAAGAGGGTCAATACGGACCGCGGGTCTAAAATCTATTTTTATTTTTAAAGAAATCAGTCAGGCTTTTAACTTACTGCTGTTGAGTAGGTCTCATGGGCAGATTATGTGCCCAGGGGCCTCGACCCCAAGGGGGCCCCCATTTTTGATTTTGTTGAGTCACTCAGGTATCATATGAACACACATAAGAAGACATGGCAAAATGTGTAGAATTGCAGGAAATTAGCTTTAAAACTGCAACAGTTTCTCTCACCCCATGGCAAAATGTGTGGAATTGCAGGAAATTAGCTTTAAAACTGCAATGTTTTCTCTCCACCAGCAGGAGGGGTGTGAATTGTTTGAACAGTTTGGAGTTACATGTGTTGCGAAGGGCGGGTTTGTTACTATGCCGACAAATGACAATATCTATCCGGACCTTTGCCACTTTGGAAATTTGTGTGACCAGACCATCTCAAATAGTAGTTGAGTACCCCTGCTCTAGAACACCACAGAACCCTATGAAACCCAAGTTATGTTGAGAATCAAAACTATAGGATCACAACCTAGAGCACCACTAGGACTAAAACGTCCAGGCAACCAGACAACCACACCTCCCATGCCTCTTTCCTTCTGACTACCTAACTGATCCTGTGGTTGTTCAATGCAAAGGCAGTGAACTATCAGCTGTCTATGGAAACTGATTAAAGCTTTGAAAGCTAACAGTCTGATACACTGAAAGACTGACCAACATACACAGCTGTGTGGAATCCCTGGGTTGTGCAATAATATGTTGTATTTATTTATTTGACCATTCCAAGCTTAGGGAAGCAGGCAGAAGAGAGCCCAAAACTACAGTCCCTGATGAACAGTGTTTTACCAGGGTATAGGACCACTGAGAGAGAATCTGACACAGACAGGCTGAAAAGGCTTTTTTAGAGATATTATTTTAGAAATTAAGTAACTCACTGGGCAAAAATAATTGAATCAACGTTTTTTCCACTTTAAAAAATAATAATCTATGTGATGACGTTGACTCAACGTGGAAAACTGATTGGATTTGCAAAAAGTCGTCAACATAAGGGAATTTCGTCATTTTTTCACCCAACTTTTGACCTAAATCCAATGACATGGTGAAATTGTTTGTTGATTTCACGTTGAATTCACGTTATTGACTAAACTAAACCAAATGTAAATCAAAACTACACGTTATAATGACGTCTGTGCCCAGTGGGAATATTCTATGTTATGTGCAGCAGAGAGAGAGAACATTGATCATAGAACGTGTGTGTTTTTAGTATAAGGAATATTGTCTGTTCTAAATGCATCAAAGGATCAGGTGTTTGTGTTGTGTGAGACATAAAGCCATGTGAACCAGGAATTCCAGGTATTCCAAATTGGCCTATTTTCTTTTAGAAAGATCTGTCCTCATTTCTCACACTGAATGTACATAGCTGTTGGTTTGGTGTATAATGTTGATGTGTTTCTCTTTTGCCAGATACTTGTTGATCACTAGGACAGTTCAATGTACTTTAGGCCAGGCCAGAGTCAGACATTTAGACATATGGCTCCGGGCCTGGCAATTGACCCTGGGTGTAATACCACTACTAGACAGATGGTGGCACTGTTGTGCTCTACAGATTAGAAAACCCTTCCAGGAATCAACTGACTGTAAACTGGTAGGGAACAAAGGCCTCAGTTTGAGCTTCACTTCACAACAGTGAACAGTCATATTATCACTGAAGAGAATTTAAACTAATTAATATATGTACATAAAATATATATTTATCTGATGTTGAGTCTAAATGGATCTGTCCTTTTTTTCTCCTACTCTGGCAAAAGTTTCAGTGGTGTGTATTGGTTCAGCTAACTCCCTGATCTTAGCACAGTATTGTAATATACTTCCAGGTGAAAAGTGTTCTTCCTGTTAAAAAGAAAAATGTGTGTGTGTGTGCTGTTCCAGTTGAAGAATGCAGTTTGAACCTCCAGGGTGTTTTGAAGCTGAACCGAGAGTGGCACATCTCTTTATTGCTACAGGGTAAAATCACACACACACACACACACACACACACACACATTCACAGATACATACATACATACATACAATACACACACACACTATCACACGCACTAGAACACACACACATACTCACACACACACAGATACATACATACATACATACATACATACAATACACACACACACACACTAACACACGCACTAGAACACACACACACATACTCACACACATTCACGCATGCCAGCTATGTGAGTGTGTGAATTGAATGGTAGCAGAAGGTTTTAGGCAGGAGATGGCATCCCAAATTGAGAATTGGGGAACCTATTCTCATTTTCTATCTTTCACGCTCTCCCTTCTGCGTTCTCTCCTTTCTCGCCTTCTGCCTTCCTCTCTTACCTGCTCTCTCTCTCTACCTCCTATCTCTCCTTTCTTTCTCACACCCTGAAGAGGAAGAGAGTAACCAGACCCATCAGATGATCACATGACCTGTCACATGACAGTAGAAGGTGAACAAGTACATGCTCTCTCAACACATCTGATTATGTGAGTGCAAGTGACTGCATGTTAGGGACTGCATGTTAGGGACTGCATGTTAGGGACTGCTTCTTAGGGACTGCTTGTTAGGGACTGCTCGTTAGGGACTGCTTGTTAGGGACTGCATGTTAGGGACTGCATGTTAGGGACTGCTTGTTAGGGACTGCCTGTTAGGGACTGCTTGTTAGGGACTGCTTGTTAGGGACTGCATGTTAGGGACTGCATGTTAGGGACTGCATGTTAGTGTGTTAGTGTGTGTCCCTGACCTTGTGTGGGGAGTTAGTCTCTGTGCCCTGGGGAGTAACCTGTTAATCACTTGCTGCTGGATGATTATTTCAAAAGAAAACAAAACCTACAGAATGAAAAACAAAATGGAGATGTGTGGGAGTCGATGGTGGGGTAATGTGAGAGGAGAATGTTATCACTGAGAGTAAAGGTTACATTGTTCACTGCTTCCTGACAGGCAGGGAGGGAGAATGAGGGAGAGAGATGGAGAGATGGAGGGGGGAGTAGGGGAGGAAGAAGTAGGGAAAGGGAGAGTGAGAGAGAGAGAATGGGAGGAAGAGGGGTAGAGAGAGCGAGGGAGAGTGTGCTTCAGGGGAGTGTGTGCTAGAGATCAACATAAAGACAGTCTGTATCAAGCCCCGTTTATAACTGGTTCTAACATGCATCCTTTGTCATGATAGCACAGACTGGAACATGTTCCGGGATTCTTCAGATAGCATTGAGGAGTACACCACATCAGTCACTGGCTTCATCAATAAGTGCATCGATGACGTCGTCCCCACAGTGACCGTACATACATACCCCAACCAGAAGCCATGGATTACAGGCAACATCCGCACAGAGCTAAAGGGTAGAGCTTCCGCTTTCAAGGAGCGGGACTCTAACCCGGAAGCTTATAAGAAATCCCGCTATGCCCTCTGACAAACCATCAAACAGGCAAAGAGTCAATACAGGACTAAGATTGAATCGTACTACACCGGCTCTGACGCTCGTCGGATGTGGCAGGGCTTGAAAACTATTACAGACTACAAAGGGAAGCACGGCCACGAGCTGCCCAGTGACACAAGCCTACCAGACGAGCTAAACCACTCTATGCTCGCTTCGAGGCAAGCAACACTGAAGCATGTATGAGAGCACCAGCTGTTCCGGATGACTATGTGATCACGCTCTCCGTAGCCGATGTGAGTAAGACTTTTAAGCAGGTCAACATTCACAAGGCCGCAGGGCCAGACGGATTACCAGGAAGTGTACTCCGAGCATGTGCTGACCAACTGGCAAGTGTCTTCACTGACATTTTCAACATGTCCCTGACTGAGTCTGTAATACCAACATGTTTCAAGCAAACCACCATAGTCCCCGTGCCCAAGGACACTAGAGACTAACTCGTGGCCGTGCTTCCCTATGTAGTCATTTTAACCTGCCTAAATGACTACATAGCACTGACATCTGTAGCCATGAAGTGCTTTGAAACGCTGGTCATGGCTCACATCAACACCATTATCCCAGAAACCCTAGACCCACACCAATTTGCATACCGCCAACAGATCCACAGATTATGCAATCTCTATTGCACTCCACACTGCCCTTTCCCACCTGGACAAGAGGAACACCTACGTGAGAATGCTATTCATTGACTACAGCTCAGCGTTCAACACCATAGTGCCCTCAAAGCTCATCACTAAGCTAAGGATCCTGGGACTAAACACCTCCCTCTGCAACTGGATCCTGGACTTCCTGATGGGCCGCCCCCAGGTGGTAAGGGTAGGTAACAACACATCTGCCACGCTGATCCTCAACACGGGGCCCCTCAGGGGTGCGTGCTCAGTCCCCTCCTGTACTCCCTGTTCACCCATGACTGCATGGCCAGGCATGACTCCAACACCATCATTAAGTTTGCTGACGACACAACAGTGGTAGGCCTGATCACCGACAACGATGAGACAGCCTATAGGGAGGAGGTCAGAGACCTGGCCGTGTAGTGCCAGGATAACAACCTCTCCCGCAACGTGACCAAGACAAAGGAGATGATTGTGGACTACAGGAAAAAAAAAGAGGACTGAGCACGCCCCCATTCTCATCGAAGGGGCTGTAGTGGAACAGGTTGAGGGCTTCAAGTTCCTTGGTGTCCACATCACCAACGAACTATCATGGTCCAAACACACCAAGACAGTCGTGAAGAGGGCATGACAAAGCCTATTCCTTCTCAGCAGCTTCCACCCCCAAGCCATAAGACTCCTGAACAGCTAATCATGGCTACCCGGACTATTTGCACTGCCCCCCCACCCCCACCCCATCTTTTTACGCTGCTGCTACTCTGTTAATTATTTATGCATAGTCACTTTAACTCTACCCACATGTACATATTACCTCAACTACCTCAACTAGCCGGTGCCCCCGCACATTCACTCTGCACCGGTACC